GTAGCAGGTCACTAACCATTTCCTCTTGGATTATGGGGGCTTCATTCTGCTCCCTGTCCCTGTCTTCCAGCTCAGGGGGCTGGGTCCCCCGAGAACAATTGGTCTGACTATAAAAGACTGAGGCAAAGAAGGCATTAAGTACCTCGGCCTTTTCCTCATCCTTTGTCACTGTGTTTCTCCCCTCATCCAATAAAGGATGGAGATTCTCCTTAGCCCTTCTTTTGTTGTTAATGTATTACCTCGGCCTTTTCCTCATCCTTTGTCACTGTGTTTCTCCCCTCATCCAATAAAGGATGGAGATTCTCCTTAGCCCTTCTTTTGTTGTTAATGTATTTATAGAAATATTTTTTATTGTCTTTTAGGGCAGTAGCCAGATATAATGATATTTGGGAAAAAAAACCCAACATTAACCACCTTTCTTTCTTTCTTCCATGAAATAGGTGTTCCTGTCATCCACTGCAACTGAGTACAGCTCTCTTACTATTGAGCTAAACAAACCCATAAAGAATGACCTTGTCCTTGACCAAACCCAAGAAAATCTCTACGTGATGACCACAGACAAGGTAATGTGTCCTGCTTGCATTAAGGACCAGGTCCACTTTCACTGCAGCTTTACCTGAGATTTGTACGTTTCTCAGTTGTTCCCATTTTGGTGGGGCTCCCCCCGCTCTGTGTGTATGAAGACCTTTCTCAAGTCCAAGCTGATGGACTCGATTGTTGTGACTTGGAGAACTGTTATATCCTTGATGCTTAGCAATTGGGAATGGGAAGTGAGTTCACCTCTAAAGCTCTCTTATGGGGTCTGTGAGAAGGATGAAGTTGAGATGTTTGACACCAGCACACCACGGGGTCAGGCAGCCCTAGTGCTCGGTGTGGTGTCTGTGGGGTATCAGTCAATGCTCTAGCTGCTATTGGTCCTTTTCAAGAGTACTTCAGGATTTAGGATGCTGGCAGCTGACATAATAGCATTTACACATCTGTAAAGCTGCCAGGAATTTTCGTGGGTCTTGCTGTCAAAAACTAAGAAACAATGGAGAGAATTACAACTTTGGGAAACACTTCTGTTCAACCTTCTGCTAGAACTGAGCAAGTGCAGCAGGAAAGGTTGGACTTTGCTACAAAAGGCACAGGCAGTGTCTTCTAGGTTCCCCTTCCCTGTGCTGGCAGATGAGGCACAATGGAGGTTTGTAAAGAAAGGAAGGAAAAGAAGCAAGTAGATGAGAAGGATGCCAGATTTCTCCTTCACCTCCAGCTGTAACCCTCTTCTGACACTTCTCTTCGTGGTAGCTGGAGCTGCCAGGC